GCCCTGTGCTGAACTGGGATGGTAGGCTCCTGGTGGGCCCAGTGTCTGGGGGACTCCATAGCCCTGTGCTAACTTGGTTCAGGGAACTCCCCATTGGCCCAGGGTTGGGGTACTGGTTCACCTTGTACTGATGTGAGTCGGAAAACTTGTAGTAGACTGGATATCTGGGGGTTTAGTTCATCCTGTGATGAGCTAGATCACTGGGCTCCTGGTTAACCTGGTGTCTGAGTGGACTTAATTGCCCTGTGTTCTGCTGGGTTGAGGCCTGCCAGTTGGAAGACTCCTGGTGGGTGCACTGTCTAGGCAACTTGTTTACCCTATGGTGAGCTGGAGCAGAATGGGGCCTAGTGGGCCCACTGTCTTGTGGACTTGTTAATCCTAGCTGAGCTGGTTTGGAGAAGTCCCCATCATCTGGATGTCTAGGGGACTTGGCTGTCTAGTGATGATCTGGGTCAGTGGACTCCTGCTCAAAGGGCTCTTGGTTGGCCCAGCCAGAAGTCTCAACTGTCCTGTGCTCTGTTGCATTGGAGGGCTTCCAGGAGGGCGTCTCTTGGTCAGCCTAGCATCCTGGGGACTTGTTGGCTCCATGCTGAGTTGGTTCAGAGATGTGCCCATTAGCTATATTTCTGGGAGAGTGTCTCACTCTGCTCTGTGGGATTGGTGCGCTCCCACCTCGCCATGTGTCTAGAGGATTAGTTTCTCCTGTGCTGACCCTGGACACAAGGCTCTAGCTCAGCAGAATGTCCAGGGGATCCTCAGGACATGCCACTGACTTCCCTGTGCTGAGTCAGGTTATGATCCCAGAGGACTAGAGGGGCTCTGCCCGACTGGGTGAGGGTCTATTGAACTATGATTCCCAGAGCCCCCTACCTTTCTGCCAAATGGGACTGAGTAACTGGGTGATCTGACCAGCCCTGCAGGGGTGCCTGGGTCCAGGTGGTGCTGAGTGCCAGTATAAGTACTCACAGGACATCAGAGGGGCAGAAAAGTAGAAGCGTACATGAAGTGGACTGAAAGGTGTGGGCGAGAGGATGGGGCAAGACCAGTCGGAGAGAAGCTGCCATTAGCAGGAACGGAGAACCCTGAAGAGTACCCCAGTTATAGCTGCTGGTTACTGACTGGGCTTTTCTAACAGCCACCGTTCATCCGATGCCTCCTAAGCATATCACTGCACCCCAGCCAATCACCAGGGGGCTCTCTGCTTGGTCTTGCTCATGTGGCCAATTACCAGGTGGTTCTCACTGTGGCCAACCTGACATCATCACCTGAACTCCATGTTTTTAAAGAAAAATATGCTAACCTGTTTTGAGAAGAAACATTACTATTTGGAATGTATTTATAATAAAGTTGGTGGTACAGCAGCCAGAGTCAATGAGTAGGAACTCAAAAATGTCACTTAGAGTCACCATCAGCAATCATAGTAACAACAGTATTAGTCAGTACATTTGGCATTAGACCCCACGAAGGCTCACACTTCAGTAGTAAAGTTAAGGTGGTACCAGAGCAAACGCTACTCTAAACTCATCCTAACGAAGTTTTTAAAAAGTCTAGAAAATGGTATCTTTTAACAATAAAAAGAATAAGTCTGGCAAAGATGAAGCTGACTCACAAGTAATTTACCTGCTGGCCCAAACAAAATTCAGCACTCAAGAAAGGGTACTAACAAAATGCAGTCTTTCAAAGTTAACACTCTTAATGCTCAGCATCCAATAAAACATTACTAAATATCCAAAGAAGGAGGAACATGGGACTCATAACCAGAAGACTCAACCATAGGTGGAAAAAAAACAAATGACAGATGAGGATGCTAAAAGAGCAATTACAAACATACCCAAGAATTTAAAGGAAAACAAATAGAATGAGGAGAAAAGGGGAGATTATAAAGGAGGATCAAATGGAATTTCGGAAATGAAAAAATAAACCAAATAGGTTTAAAAAATTGTAGGATGCGCAAAAAGAAAAAAAGATGAATGAACTTGAAGATACAGAAGAGAAACTTTCCAAACTGAAGCACAGAGAGACATGAAGACTAAAAATAAATGACCAGAGCTTCAGGGACTTGGAGGACAATATCAGAAGGAGGGGAGGTCCAAGGAGAAAATGGCCTTAAAATTTCCAAACTGGAAAAACAATGTGTTTATAAACCCACAGATCAGGACATTCAATGAACCCCAAGCAGAAAAACATACATACAAAAAAATCATACATATCATACCATAATCAAGGTGTGGAAACCAGTGACAAAGAGAAACTCAAAGCAGTCAGAAAACAAAAGGGAGAATAATATATATAATAATATATGCGGGGAAATAAGAGGGGCTGCCAAGCTTTCGTGAGAAGAAAATGCAACCCCAAAAGTGCTGAATGACATCTTTTTCTTTTGAAAGAAAAAAAAAAAACCTCTGTAAACTTAGTATTCTACATCTAGCAAAAATAAAGGCAAAATAAAGACATTTTTCAGATATATAAAAACAGAGAGAATTTGCTGTAAGTGGACTTATACCACAAGAAATGTGAAAGGGAATTCTTCAGGCCAAAGCAACAAAGACTGTAGAAATGGGAAATGGGAAAGGATAACTATAAGATTATAACATAAAAATAAAAATTATATAAGAAATATTTCTTTTCTCATTTAAAACTTCCCTAAAAAATAACTGGCTTTTCAAAGAAATAGAAAAGCAATGCACTGTTGAGTTTGTAACATGTAATGTAAAACATATGACAGCAACTACACAAAGGTCAGGAAGGGATAAATGGAGATGTATTGTTGTAAGGTTTGTACAATGAAGTAATATATACACGGGATGTAAAATAGTATTTGGTGGCGGTGATAAATTAAAGACACATGTTGTAAATCCTAGAGCAACCACAAGAGCACCTCTCCCAGAGACAAAAAAGGAAAAATGGCTAATAAGTCATTAGTGAAGATTCAAAAAGGAAATATAAGAAATAAATTCAATAAATGAAGAATAGAAAAAGAAGTAAAAAGAGAACAGATGTAACAAAAACAGCAAGATGGCAGACTAAGTGATAATTACATTCCCTGTAAATGGTCTAAAGGGCCCTTAAAAAAGGTGGGGGGAAGCACACTCCCACCCCAAACCAGGAGGGGAACAAAATTTATTTCTATGTGATTCATTTCCCATATGGATTCATGCCCCTTGATTAAAGCCGCAATGAGATTTCTACAGTCAGAGTCAGGCTTGGCTAATAGGTTACCAGGGTAACCTGTCGCTCTGGGAGAGCCACTGTTCTTCCCACTGACTGTGGCTTTGGATAGAGTGTTCAGCTGTTTGTCTGAGGATTGGATTTGTGTGACCCCTCGCAGCTCACGGGAGGAGGGAGGAAAATGCTTTGTACACAGCTGCTTCCTCCCCAGCGCAGGGGTGGAAACCATGGACTCTGGACTCAGGCTATCAGGTTTTTATACTAGCTCCAGCACTCCCTATCTGTGTGAGTTGATACATAATATCTTTCAGCCTCTGTTTTCTTATCTCTAAAATACGAACACCTGTTGAGATGCCTGGTGGCTCAGTTGGTTGAGCGGCGGCCTTTGGCTCCAGTCAGGATCCTGGGGTCCTGGGATCGAGCCCCACATATGACTCCCAGCTCAGCGGGGAGTCTGCTTCTCCCTCTTCCTCTGTGCCTCCCCCAGCTCCTGTGTGCTTTCTCGCTCTTTCAAATAAATAAATAAAATACCTAAAAATTTTTAAGAAATGAAATATGAACACCCATTTTGTAATCCTGTTTGGAAGAGTCAATATGTTCCTAAGAATAAAGTGCTTTACAAATTATAGTGGGCACACCCAAAAAATTAAAAATTAGAAAAAAAGTATAGTAGGCACTAACCAATATTAACACACATGATGTCACCCTGTGCACACAGTAACTAATCATAGCCACCATTTATCGAATTTTTACTGTATGCTGTGCATTGAACTAAGAGTTTTTATATAATACCATAAGGAATCCACAGAACAAGCCCTCAAAGTATTTATCCTTATTTTAGAAATCATGTTTCGGAGAGGTTAAGTCATACAGCTAGTGGATGCATCATGACTTCCTAGACCACAACCAGTTTGGGTCTTTTGTGAGTTCGTTTATTTACCCAACACATCCATTTATGGAGTACCACTACTCCATACCCCAAGACCCACTACTCCTCACCAGGGCACAACACTGCATTCCTCAGGGCTATATGACCATCTTTCAGCAAAGAGTCAAAGCTGATAACGCAGGCTCTCGCATGATAAAGAGGCTGTGTTCATAATATTACTGATCTACACTCCGTTCTTTCCCTAAAACACCACAGATGTTACTTGCTTTACCCAGCAGACATGTGGAGACGAGGCTCTGCATTCCTTCTCAGCAGAAAGCTGCCCCCTTTGGTGGGAAGTGGGAACAGGACCCAGAGGGCAAGACTCTTCTCTCACATTGGCAAGCCACTGATTAATCACCTGCATCTACGTATTATGCCCCAGGCACACACTATGCTTTGTGTTTTCACACAGATTACCTCATTTAATCCTCACAGCTACTCCAGGAAGTGCTATTAACATCGTCTGCTTTATAAATGAGGAACCTCAGTTAAGGCAGCTTTCCCTCTGAGGGGCCAGCGCTCAATAACTCACGGGGCTCCTGACGCTGGAGGGTGGCAGTGCTCGGATTTGGATCCAGGCAGTCGGCTAGGGCCAGAGAGCTTTCTTCATGTAATGTCTGTCTGGTTTTGCTGAGGAGACTTGAATGCCCTCAGTTCAGCGCTCAGAGGATACAATTCTACCTCATGTCAATGACTCTAGCCCCTACCTGCTCCCAGCCTTAGGGGCGTCCCCTTCTCCTCCAAAGACCCTCCACTCCCTTGGTCAGACAAGTAACTGAGATGTGCAGACAGCAGTAGCTCAGTAAGTGTCTGAAGAAGGGAAGAAGAAATACAAGAGAAAAAGAGGGAGGGAGAAGAGAGGAGAAAGAATCTGAACAGAGTTTACGGAAGGGGATCCCACCTTCTGCAGCTTCCTCCTCTCGGCCTCCACCGACAAGCGAACAGACTTGATTTCTAGCGTGTGCTTCTTCACTAAGTCTTCCAGTCGCTTCACTAGCTGGTCTTTGAGATGTTTCTTCTCCTCTTCTGTCTGATGTTTGATTTTGCGAAGGTCTTCTTCATATTGTTGCTTCATATATTCCGTCTCAATACTTGCCTCTTTCTTGGTCTATAAACAAGAGAAAGGGCCTTGTAAACCTGCCAGTGTGGGGTGAGGGGCAGGGCATCACCGTTTCTCTTTGGTACAGAGTTTACAACATTTACACACTGGTTTTACTGCTCGTAGCACCAGGGGCCATAAAGTTCATAGGACTATAGATCTGATATTCGTAACAGCCTTCACTTTATCCACCATCAGCAAAAGGCTCTTTGGAAACGTGTACCTACGGTCATGGGATTGGATATTCCAGCCCACTCCAGCGGGGTCTAAAGAATTCTTTGTTTGTTTTGATTGGGGAACAGATAGTGGAAGTCCTATGCAAGTTTCTAGTTTCCCAGGAACCAGCGAAAGAAGTGGGGAGAATTCTGCTATATTCTGTCTCCTAATTTCAAATGGCAGGAAGTTAGCTGGAACTTCACACCCACATGTCCACCCCTAAAACCATGGGACCTGCTGGTGCCAAGTGGCTCTGTCATAGTTGGGAACTGGCCTCTACCCGAAGCTCATTCCAGCAAAGCTTCCTGTGACTTCTTCATTCCCAGGGCTGGGTCAGACACTACCTGTGCTTCTGGGCCTCCTTTGGTGCACGGACAGTCCTTGGGGAAGTCTGGCTCCTGCTGAGGATGGAGACTGCAGCCTTCCAGGTCATTCGCCTTTCCTAGGACTTCCTTCTCTGAAACTAGCTCCGTCTTCATGTCATCTGCAAGTATACGTTTCAACATCATTTAAAATGCCCTTGTGTTCAAGGTCTTCTGCAGTCAGGTACCCATTCTGCTATTCAACTCTTCTACCCCCACTCTCCAGTGGACTTGCTGCTCTGTGGCCTTCTAGCTGTCAAGCACAATCAAAGTGGTGATTGTTGTCTTTGCTCAGGCAGCATCTTGAGTTCAAAAAGTTGCCCTGTTCTAGCTTATTAAACTAATCATCATCAAAATGTTTTGATCATGCTTTCCATACGTTGAAAAAAACCACTGAGCATGTTCCTGCATATATATACATTCGAAAGATTTAAATGTAAAAGATAAGACAAAAAATAAATATAACTAGAAATGCTCATTGTTTTCTTCCCATATTCTTAGGAGGTATCCCTGCCCCACTTTTGAAAACACTGCACAAACTCCTCCACACACTTCTGGTTCCAATTCAAACCTCTCCTCCTCCACACCTTTCCAGCCCACGGTGACTTCTTTCCAGAATGTTTCACTCCCCTGTTGCCTGGGCCACCGCATGATACCAAACGGTGCTCCAGACTATAAAGTCACTGTCCCATAAGCTCCCTGGGGGCAGAGCCCATGTTTTGTGTCTTTTCTATATCTCCTAGGATCAAGCTGATCACACTGTAGTATTTAAGAACTTGCTGATGAAGGAGTCTCCTCCTTCAGAGGAAGGCACTCTGGAGTCAGATATGCTCAGATACACTTGTTCTATCATGACCCGTGGCCTTGAGCTAGCCACCTACCCTTCCTCAGCCTTGTTTCTTCATCTGCATCATGGGAGACACTGACCACGCCCACTCACAGTACTACTGGGGAGACCCAGTAACATCACTGTGAAATGATGGGAAAAATATGAAGTGTTGCTTCAGTGTGGAGGAGAAGGCAGTGCTGAGCCATTCAAGCAAGAGGTTTCAGGGGCAAGGGGTCCTGCTGCACCATACCTTTTAGCTCTCCACACTGTGGCAGCTCACCTGTGCCCTGCCTGGGTTGAGCACCCTGCCTGGGTTGAGCTCACCCAACAGGGATCAGATGAAACAGCCTGCCCTCATTCTGCTCCCTCAACAGTCTCAGGGTGCAAGCAGCACCAGCCAACCTGGCAGCGGCCCTTCTCTCTGTTAAGAAAAACAAAAACAAAAAACCCACAAACAAAAACTCTCACAGTGCCTCTCACCGCTTTTCTGTGTCACGTGACAATCCTGCAGCATTAGCCTGTCTTTGGCAACAGCTAGCTTCTCCCCAAGTTTTTTTGCAGTGGTTTTCAGCTCTGAGTTCTCCTGCCGAGCCTCCTTGAGCTGCACATCCAGGTCCTAAACAGACAGAAAAGGTCTCATTGCCCTGGGAACAGTTCGCAGTGGAGACGCACGATGTGCACAGATCTGAAAGGTGGGTCAGTGCACAGCAGCCACTCTTGTCTTTGGAATTCAGGGGCTCCTGTTCACCCAATCCCTACTCATCCCGATGGGCTGTGTGCCTTTGGGCATGTTATTTAACATTTCAGTCATGAGGATTAAATGAGACAAAGTGCCTGGGACCGAAAAAGTGCTCAAGGATTACTAAGAATATTAGCTGCTGCAACTTTCAGAGATGGGGCTCTATGAGTGTGTGGGGTTTGTCAGGGGTCTGTCTTGTCAACGGTTGGGCTTGCCATGAAAGCCATGTCCCAGGATTTCAGGACAGGTAAATTGTTAGGGAATGAGCAGGGCTTTAGAATGAGGCTGGCATCAGTTAAGAAACTTACGAGCTGTGTGCCTAGCAAGGTTAGTCTTTAAGCCTCTCCATTTCTAGACCGAAATTATCATCTCTGTTAACTTTAAGTGTTGAAGCTCTCTGAGGTCCGGGACCCAGTCCGGCTTGCCATGTGTCCCCTACCTGTGGCCCCAGGTCAGTAGAAATTCCATAAACATTTGCTGACAGAATGTCGTTGACCTCAAGGGAAATAAGAGTCACTTGGGTGGGAGTCAAGTGCCTTGCACAGTGCCCCACACAGAGTAGGTATTTAAATTAGAGACCGTGTTTATGATCCCATTGGAAAGCTAGCAAGAGACCCTGCTTTACCTGTGTCCTCTCCTTTAGCTTCTGGGCGTACTTCTTCAGGTCACTTATCTTGCGGCCTCTGTGCTCCAGATCCCCTTCCAGCTTCCTGACCTGGGCCTGCAGGGCCGACTCCTGGACCTGGAAGTTCTTGCGGAGGTCCGTCTCCTTCTCCTGCCACTGCCACAGGGCCTCGCTCACCGACTGCTGCATGGCCTGTCGGATGGCCTCGGTGTCCCGCTCGTAGGTGGCCTGCAGCTCCTCTGCCTTCCGGGCATAGTCCTTGCTCAGCTGCTGGTTTTCCACGCGCAGCCGCTCTACCTCCAGCAGTACCTCCCGCATCTCGTGGCCATGGCCTGGCTCTCCCTTAGGGTCTGGGCCCTCCTGGGAAAGCCGGCCCCACTGGGGCGCCTCGCGGCTTGTCAGGTGCCTGAGCCTCTTCTCGTAGTCAGCCTTGAGCTCCAGCATCTCCTTGGAGAGGCTGAGGACCCGCTCGGCGTGCTCAGCCTCCACCCTCAGCTCCCTTTCTTTGGTCTCCAGCCTGCACGTGGCCGACTGCGCCAGCGCCTCCTGCGTCAGCCTCTTCTGCAGTTCCAGCGCGCTCTCCAGGGCCTCGATGCGCTGGAGCAGGGCCTCCTCCTCTGCATGGCCCTGTTCCTGCAGGAGCCTGGCCTTGGTCTCTGCCACGGCACTCTGCAGTTCCTCCTGGTGGGCCTCGCGCAGCGCCTCCATGCTGGCCTCCGCCTCATCCTGGCGCATGTTGAGGGCGTAAATCACCTGCAGGAGAATCCCGGGAGCCAGGTTAGTGTGAGGAGTGGGAGGGGCTGTGAGGGGCCACGTGACCGCAGCTGCTCCTCCTCCGCGGCCGTACCTGGGGCGGGTCCCCACCAGCCGCACCTGAGAAGAGGACGGGTGTGGAAGTGGTTTGTTAGAAATTGTCCCCAGGAGAAACCCGCGAGGAAGCAGGGAAGTGGGACAGGAGCATGGCGGAAGCCAGGTGAGGGACACATAAAGGCCACAGAGGGGATCTGTGGCAGAGATCCCTAGGGGGCCTCCGGAGTGCCATGGGAATCCAGCAAAGGGCTTAATAACTCCAGTTTAGGGGGGCGGGGTGGGAAGAACAATTTGGAACAAAAAATCAAACACGCCTCAAAAAAAACCAACAAAATATCAGAAAATAGAATTCTGCAACATATAAAATGATTATATACCATGATCAAGTGGGATTTACCCCAGGAATGTGAAGTTGATTAAACATCTAAAAATCAGTTCATGGAATATACCATACGAAGAGAATAAACGACAAAAGCACAGGATGTGTCGACAGACACAGGAAAAGCATCTGATAAAATACAACACTCCTTTGTGATAGCAACACTCGACAATCTAGAAATGTATCCAAGGTGTAAGACTGTTTCTCCATAACTTCAGGAACAAGAATAGGGACACTTTGTTACCCCAGAGAAGATAATGCAGGGGGGTGGGAGTGTGGTGGGGCCGAGCAACCGGCCTGAGCAACAGGTAGATGTTTACTGAAAGGGAAAAACAACAACAACAACAACAAAAAACTACAGGTAGGACAAGCATGGGGAAGAAAATAAAGAATTCTGCACTGGACAAATTAAACTTGATTGCCTCCTGGGGCATCACAGCAGACAGAGAAATTTCTGGAGCTCAGAGGAGGAAGCCTGAGCTAGAGATGAAGGGCATACAGAATTAGGATAGCTTTGTTGTTTCTGTTGTTTGACTGAGGAGAGTCCAGAGTCTATCTACATATGCCACCGCCCACCCCACAGGTGCAGGAGGGAAGGAGAAGCTGGGCAGAGGCATAAAGAACGTAGGACAGGAGACTGACGGAGCTCACCTGGCAGAGGCGAGAAGGTGGCTTCTATGCTGTCAGGGAGGATGGAGGGAAGGCTGTTCACGGACAGTGTGCTGAGCTGGAAGGGAAGTGGGAAGTGTGGGAGGCTTGAGGAGGGACAAGTTGTGAACTAGTTTGGGGGAAGGGAACTATAAAATACAAGGCAATATAAAGGCTTTGAATTTGCAGTAAGTTCTCTGATCTGGACTCTCTTTTGCCATGTTTAGCTGAGTGAGTTCAGGGAAAGAAAAGAAGAGGGGTAGGTCATCTTGGGGTGGGGTTTTACATGGTGATTGTGGAGAGAGGGACAAGGCAGCAGAGGTATTTTCTAGAGCCAACAATCTGGAAGGAGGGGGCAGGAGTAGATTTTTGGTGGTGACAAGGTCAAAGGATGGTGAAAGTGGAGAAGAGGGTAAGGTCACTGAATGAGAAGGGGTCAAGAGACTGAGAAATCAAGGGGCTGTGTGGTCCCCACATGGGATGTTGAACTCATTGAAAATGACTCAAGAGGAGCTGGGCTGGTGAAGGTGAGCAAGAGTCAGGGGCCAAGCGCTACCCGTCAGCTCCCTTGGGCGCTGAGGTTAAAAACATCCTTCCGAAAAGTCCCCACACAGCTTCACACTAACAGACCCTTAACTTTTGTGTGTGTGTGTGTGTGTGTGTAATTGTGAAACAGTTGTTGAAGAAGGCCAAATGGCACCACTAGGGCTGACATTCGTGATTCATTTAATAGCAGTTTACCTCGAGACTGCACAATTTGAGAAAGAGGAGCCTTATATCCATGATGTGCCGAAAATCTTATTTTCACTGTCTACATGAGATCTAACTACTGATGGGTTGTCTGTCTCCCTCCCTAAAATGAAGTCTCCGTGAGAGAGGAGCTCGGTCTTCTTTGTTCAATACCGTTCATCCCCAGTGCCTGGCTCAAGGTGGACGCTCTAAAAATATTTCTTAAATGGATGAGTGAATGAAGAAGGAATCAGAGCTCTGTCTTGAATGATGTAGTTGTAAAGGTATGAGATGGGCTTGACATCTTGTGAGTTCTTGGGAGAGTAAGTACTGTCTTAAGAATTGTGAATCTAACACTCTCTGATGGCAAGAACAAGGGAAGGAAGACCTCCCTCCCAGGAAGATCAAAGGAAGGAAGGTCTCCCTCCCAAGAAGACCCCCACCCCAATGAAATAAAGCTGCTGTCCCCACAACTCTTCTTTCTCATCATCCTTGCACACAATTTGGCCACCTTTGGTTTCTATGGCTTCTCCTGGCTTGCATCTAAGATTGGATCTAGAGTAAGTGAATGCTGAAACCAGTATCCCACTGGTTATCATTTGTGTTAATAATAAATACTATTTTTCCAGAGTTTACTATGTGCCTAGCACAAGGCTAGGTGCTACATACACATTCAGAATCTCAGAATATCCTCAGAGCAATGTTGCAAAGTTGGTATTGTCCTCCCCATTCTAAGAATGAAAATTTGAGGTTCAGAGAAGTGTAGTAAGTTTTGCAAGGTCACAAGAGATAAGAAACTTTGACTAACTCTGAAGCACATGCTCACAGCATGGTACAACACTGCATCTTACTGTCCCATTCAATCATTTAGTCCTTTATGCATACTGCACTTCTCAGAAGTGCCAGATTCTGTGAAGGGCACAGAACATGCTAGTCAATAGGACAACTAAAAGTTGTGACCTCAGAAATGTTTTAATTTAATGGGTGAGTCAGACAAGAATCTGTAAGGTTTCAAAACCTTGTGATAAGTGCTGTGACAGGGATCAGCACCAGTTACTATGGAAACACAGAAGAAGGGGTCTAAAAGGAAAGAAAACTTCCCAGGAAAAGTTAGCCTTACCTACTCAAACTTGGGGTGACCTGTTCCCTTTTACATGTCAACCTGCATATGGGCAAGAACAATATGACTTCTGTGTGCTGTCTCATAGCACTTGGGAGGAAGTTGAGGGCACCGTAAGTTCATAATAAGTAGATCATTATGATTCTACAGCAGGTCATCAAGGATTTATGCTTTCTTTCCACAGAGTTGCTATAGCAGAACAGCCACTGAACAGACATCACATTTCGTAGCCCTCTTGTATCTACATGAGACCATATGCCTAGTAATTGCCAAAGGAATATAGCCAGCGGTAGTGATGTCATTTTGGGGCCAACATTTTGGGGTTAAGGTGACAAGGAGGGTTAAGAAAGGGGCATGTATTTTCCACATCTCTTTTTCTCATCTGCAAACTTACCAGACAAGACTCAGAGGCTTCAGAAGAAGGTAGAATACAAGATGGAAGGCACCTGGGTCCTTGATGACTGACTAGAAGGTCATCCACCCACCAGGAACACTGGCACTGATCTTTCTATGCACAAGAAATAAACTATTGTGTTGGACCTCTGAAGTCCTGGTAGTTATCTGTTCCAATAGCTACCATTACCCTAGGAAAACTCAAAAGACTCAGCACATAGATATGGGATTATTATGATTATAGGGAAAGGATACAAAGTAAACTTGACAGAGGGAAAAGATGAACAAGGAGAGGTCTGGAGGAAACTAGGCTCAAGCTTCCAAGAGTCCTCCCCCAACAAGTCCTCTCCCAGTACAATCACACGGGACTTGCTGAATTTCCCTATCAAGGAGTTGTAGCAATATTTGTGAACTATTGTTTACCAAATAGCTGTTTAAAGACTCAGCAAGGGGGCGCCTGGGTGGCTCAGTGGGTTAAGCCTCTGCCTTTGGCTCAGGTCCTGATCCCAGGGTCCTGAGATTGAGTCCCACATCGGGCTCTCTGCTCCACGGAGAGCCTGCTTCCTCCTCTCTCTCTGTCGGCCTCTCTACCTACTACTTGGAATCTCTGTCTGTCAAATAAATACATTAAAAAAAAAAAAAAGACTCAGCAAGGTTTTTACAGGGGGCTAGTCAAGTAGGCAACTTCTATTGGCAATACCAAAATTGCAACCCCCCAGTAGGAAAGCAGGTGCTCAGCATAAATCACATGTTTGCATAAGCAATTTAGGCATAGTGAGTCACTCTTAACAATTTGGGTGGTGGGAACCCTCTGAAGATCCAATTTCCCAGATGCCAACTGAGGGCCGCTTTCCAAGTTGACCACTCTAGGCATAAGCTGTCTTGGGCCTGTTATGTTAACTCTTTCTGTACACCTAACACCCAACTTGACAAAAGTTCTTTTCAGTAGAGTCAAGCTTGCACCATGAGTAAATCTGAACACAAATGAGGTTTTCATGGTGAAGAACAAAACATCCTCAAAAAGGTTATTCCATGAAATTTGGCATACTGATTCCATGAAGGATAAAATCAACTACTGGTGTTGGTGGTGATGTGGGAGAATGGAGTTCCGACATTCAACTATACCTGAAGAACAGAAAACTTGGTTGAATCACAGTGCCACAAAAGCACTCAATAAAGAAAGAACCCAAATGTTCCACCCCTTTGAGTAAAACCACTGTCCCCTGGGTTTTCAGGTCTATATCTCTTTCCAGCATTTGCTCATATGAGTCTTCTCTGTCTTGTGAAAACTCTCCCCACATGCATACCCTTGAATTAACACAAGATCAGAGGTAGTAGAGAAGGTATCACACTGTGGGTGGGCACACAATGTCTGAGGGCCCTTTGGCATATGTATATTTACTCATGGTGTCTCGCAATTAAAAGTCTCCAAATAATCCCCAGCAAGGGTCTGCTCCAATTGTTCTGCTTGGCTGAGATCTGGCTACAGGGTTCCTGGCTTTCAACAAGTGCCAGACTCACCTCCCTTTCCCTGACACCCTTGCCCAGAAAGTACTCCAAGGATGGTGTGTGCACAAACAAGAAAGTACGTTATGTTATTTTATATTTCATATCATATTATATTCCTCATCTTCTTGTAATACACATACATGTTAATCTAGATCATGATTTTTT